CAGGTCAATTTTAACTGGTCTAATTCCAGCTACATCTGGAACTGCAACAATTTATGATCCAGATATAAATATTGATATGGATAAAATACGAAAAAATCTTGGATGGTGTCCTCAACATGTATATAGAATATTTTCTTTTATATAAATATGATTTTGTTTTATTAATAGAATGTTTTATTTGAAAAATTAACAGTTGAAGAACATTTATTATTTTTTTCAAAATTAAAACAAGTTCAAAGTAAAGAAATGAAAAAATTATTTTTTTTTTGTTGTATCTCTTTAATTATTTTTGTTTTTCTTTTTATTTAGATGGACAATTAAAATGTTGTGGAACATCACTTTTTCTCAAAACAACATTTGGTGAAGGTTATGTTTTAACATTGGTTAAAAAAGGTAAGGAAATTTTTCATAAACTCAAAGTTTCTAGATGCTGTCTTCTATGAGATAATGAGATCTAGAGATGGGATTGGTTCGTGTTTTTTTTTTGGACAGATACTACTTCAGACTATAGAATGATCACAAAAAATTTTGAATCATGAAAGATGTGAATATCCTTAAAAAACATTCTTTGTTTTCTTATGTAGATCCATGGATGGGTTCAAAGAATGATGTTACATCGACTATAACACAATGTATACCACAAGCATATCTTAAAGAAGAAACAAGAAAGTTAGTTGAAGAAAGATGAAATTTGATTTAATGAGAAAATTATTTTTTTTAAGGTAACTTCAATATATTTTACCATTAAAAAGTCGTCATTCATTTCCGGAATTTTTTTCCATACTTGATTCTCGAAAAGAATCATTATCAATAACTGGTTATGGTGTACAAGATGTTTCATTAGAAGAAGTTTTTCTTAAAGTTACAGAACAATATAAAACAATGAATAGTCGTTTTTGCGATTTATCATAAAACGCTTTTGGCTGAAATATATCTAGATTTTATTGGCATCAGACTTTTTTCCTATCGCTGTAAATCAGAAAAGTTACGTTTGTATCAATCAGCTAATCGAAGTCTGGAAGAAAGCGAAAAGTACTCATTGCAAAATTCATTACTAAGAGTACTCTATTAACTTTGCTCTTGATGTAACTGAGAAGAAACAACATTTTCCTTCAAAATCATACATAGTTAATAATAGAATCGATTTTATAAATTTCATTTCATTCTTTTTGCTAGCTTTTTGGCAAATGAAATTTTCAAGAAAGTTTAAATTAGTAAACTTTGATTGAAGTGACAGTACAAATTTCAGATTTAATTTGCTTTATTCTAAGAAATATTTTCTGTTCAATGAGATATGCAATAAATCATTTTTAATCTTAATATTGGAAGGAGAAAATAAGACTTCTATCAAGGTTGTTATATGAATTCATCACGTAATGTTTCTCAACGATATCTAATAATTCACTCAAGTAGACGTCTGTTTGTTTTGTATCCAAAAGATCATATTTAAACGATTTTTTACACTTTTATTAACAAAGAAAAAAAACACAAAACAAAAAACAAAAAAAATGAAACAGCCACGATAACACCATTCACCTCCCCTCTCTTTCTCCTCACCACCACAGCCATCCCACTCCCACCTACCACTTGCTAGACTGGATCTCTCCAGTCCATCGACGGAACTCCAGCATCACCTGCTGGTCCACTTCCACCTTCACCAGGTTAGCCTCCAAGTCCCGCACCTTAGCACTTAAGGTGCGGAAACCTTCCTTGGCTTTCCTGTGGACAGTAAACGTCTCGGCTTCGGCCTCCCTAACCTTAGCCGTCGCCTCCATCTCCACCTGTTCCATCTTCGCCGTCGCCTCCCTTTTCACCTCTTCTACCTTTGCTTCCAAGTCCTGGATTTTCTTCTTCAAGGCACGGGCATCTTCTTCGGCTTCTGCCGCCGTCATCTCCGCATCCACATTCGATGCTTGAATTATCTGGCGAGTCTTTTCCACCGCCGCTATCACCACCTTCCTTAACCGGGATACCTCTTGAGGTACCCAGGTCTCCAGTGATGGTATTGTTGATGATGATCCCTCCGTGTAAACCTGAAACAAAAAAGAAAAATGATTAGTTGATGTAAAAAAAACTTGTTAGCACAGCCCTTTTGGAGCTGAAATGTGGAACTCATATATCTCCTCAGGCTTCATTATACTAACACAACATACACGAAGTGTATAACCTCTAAAAGACGACCGTTCTTTTCGCATGATGATCGATTGTGAGTAAGTTCTGTCTTTTTTATTTCTCCACTTCGAACAGAATATTTATATTTTAACGAGCACCCTCTTTTCCATTTTTACTGTTGCTATTCACTCTTTATTTTTCATTTTTTTTTAATTCTTTTTTTTTCTTAATTTAACCTTATTATTATAAGCATCGAACTAATGGCAAATAAGACTGTTTTACACGTCCAATATACCTACAACAGATCTTAATGCACTATTATATATCATAATTAACTCACAAGCAATGATATTCATTATTTTTAAAATTAAAACTTGATAATTTTTGCGAAAACAATTTATAAAATCTGATACCTATTTTCTTTGATTGTTAAAGTCTCTAATGGGGGGAGGGGGGGGGGGGGGGAGAGGAAGGAAATTGGGGTCAAAACTTCTCCGTAAAACTTACACTCAAATTTTTCTTCGAAAATATATGTGAGTTCCACAAAAAGATTTGATATGATAAATCATCTCATATGAACAATGAAACCATAGAAGTATATGAGGATAAAAAGATGATTAGACTAGAAGCTCAGACAATATTTATTTCTAATATGTACTATTCTCAAATGGATCTTAATCTATTCGTACCAAATTGAAGTTATTGTCGATGTCTTTGCACATGATATCGTTTTGTTAACCTTTCACAAGTGGAAGAGAGTGAATGAACAAGGTATGAAGGAAGAAAAATATTCAAGCGAAGAAAAATACGAACGAAAAACAAAGAAAAAAACTCAATCACTAATGAGATTTTTTTTTCTTTTTCTTTTCTTTCGCTAGGTGGTCATTGCTCTCTCAATTAAAGTATATAAGAAAGGTCAACTATTGAGCACATTGTTGAGAAAACGGAGAGAAAATTATTTTTTCGAAGAAGAGAACGTATGTGAAGATAAAACATGTACAATCGATATAGATATTAAAGGGAAACATAATAACTTATGGAAGAGTAAAATTATGAGACAGTTCATCCATTGGGTGTACCAGAAGTTTTGCGCCATTTGGTGTTTTTCATATATCTCATTTCAGAATAAAGATAAAATCTTGAATTTAGTTTTGAAAGATGCACAATTCAATTCTGTACAAAAATGTATTTAGCTTAATTTAAAATAATCGTACTGAAAGATTTTATGGGTCGAATGATGTGCTTATATGAATAGCATCTATGTGCCACACTTTTTTTTTTATAAGTTATTTTTTCTGTGGAAAGGAATATTTTGCTTTTACAAATAGCAATCTATCAGATAGCGCTTGAAAGATCGGATCGATTGCTAATATATTTAACACACATCCTTTGAATTTTTTTGCAAAGTAGTAATTCGAAAATTGCAAAATTCTCTCTCTCGATTACCCTTTTCCGGAAAAAGTCTCTTAAGAATGTGATCTACAGTGAAACCGAATTCACTTTTGCAGTATTTTACAGAAAACAGGCTGCTCTGTCTACTTGAAGCTCAAAATACATTCGACAAAGCCATTCAGTTTCACGAGAACTCTGAACATTGCCTAGAATATTGTTTTTACAGTAGTACATCAAACAGATCACTGTTATCACACCGAAACAAATTATAATCGAACACAGACAAATTATTCGGAAAGAGCAGTGATATGTAATCGTATTGCTAATGATTAGGTTTTTAAGCACCTGTTTGTAAGAGAAAACTCAGAAAAAATAAAGTAAAAACAACCGTGGAACAGAGACGCAATTCAAATAAGCACACTATTCGACCCATAAAAACTTTCAGTACTATTATTTTAAATTAAGCTAAATACATTTTTGTACACAATTGAATTGTCCATCTTTTAAGAATAAATTCAAGATTTTATCTTGCTTCTGTGCTGAGATATATGAAAAACACCAAATGTCCGAAAACTTTTGGTACATCTAGTGATAGGAGTGTTGCTATTACTAAATTCGCTACCCTTCTTACTCTCTTATTTATCATCTATTCTTTTTTTCAAAAACTATAGATATTGTTAGCTTACCATGCAGGAGTAAAAATCATAATTTAATATAAAATAAAATAAACTTGAATAATAAACGAAAATCATATTAGAAACAAAAGAATATGCAGTAATAATTAATATATTTATTTATTTATTCTGTT